TAATATTAAGATTCGTAATCTTTGTAACTTTTTTATTATTATTTTAAATAATAATAATTGAAAAATAAGTATACGTTTGGTCATTGTTACATCAGTCTTTTCAAGCAAAGCAGTGTTATTACAATTTTTGCATAATTTTTGTATATTATTCATTATTATTTTACCGCTTGTATATTATTCATTATTATTTTACCGCGCAGAGAAGGACAAGAAACCTTGCAATTTTCTGTCTCGCAATGGACGCGTATATATAACTAATGTGGAGTCTATCTTATATGTCTATGAATCATATAGATGAGATCGACATAATTTTATCAACATGTCTACATCGTACGTAGGTATATGTATATTATATATCTACGTACGATGTAGACTATATATTGATAAGAAATTTCTTACTTTTGCCATTTTTTTAAACATTTTCAAAGAAAGACAACTAATCAAGTTGTACTAGAATACAATCAAATTCGTATCATACAGATAAGATTGATATAATTTTAAATAAATTACCAGCTCGTTATATATTGTGACGCCGCAGTCCGCTGCAGCGGAGCAGCGTCCCGCCGCCGTCACAAGGCGCGGGTTCGCGCCTCCTTTTGCTGGACCGGCAGCCGCGTTGTCGAAGCGAGACCGAGATCTCCGGGAGGCCCGAATTTAGAACGCGTGCATTTTATTAATTTGCTTTGAACCTCTTGTATGTACCGCGGCACCTCACCGCCGCCGCCGCTCCTTCATGTACAGCTACCGCCGCTACTCCTCCGCATACCGCTGTCGCTGCTCTTTCGCGTACCGTCGTCGCCGCCGCTATTCCATCGCATGCAGCTATTGCCGCCGCTGCACCGCTTCCGCCAATACTGTCGCCGCCGCCGCTGCTTCTCCGCGTGATTCTTCCGCTGCTGCTCCGCATTCCGCCGCCATCGACGCTTCTCAACGTAAGTTACATAATATGTAATACTTTTATGTATAAAGTTTTGTCATTTCAATATGACAGATAAAGCTAGGGTAGTGCCACGACATTTGCACAATGACATAACACGCAGTCACGCGGTCATCACTCTTTATCATCACTATTTTTTGTGTACTTGGCGTCGCGCCGCTACTGCGTCGCTTGATTTGCGTGATCGTGTTATAAATGAGATCCGTTCTTCATAGCTGAACTGGCTGCATTAGTCCACTGCAGTTTATCTTTCTTTTTCTACATTATAAAAGAAAGATAAACTCTGAACTAGTGCAGTCAGTTCAGTTATAAAGAACAGGCCTAAGAAGATAATGCCATTTGAAATCTTTTTTTAATTTAACAACAATTTTTGTTTCGAGTCGTGTTATACATTGAAGATAAAAAAAGAAAAGTATTTATGTTAAGTATATAAAAAAACGTCGTACATTACGTCTTTCCTAAACCAAAAATGTTTTTTAAATAAATAATTATGTATAATTTTAACTTTAAAAAAATCTTTCTAAAAAAAGTTTATTCAGATTGTTCAAAAATAAATATGAAATTATATAAGTGGCCAAATATTTGATTAGACAAAGAGCAGAAATAAAATATTCTATTCTAAATCAAAATCATTTTTTTAATAAATCGTTTAAATCATCCAAAAGTATATTCAGGAATAATTTAAATAAATGCATTCAAAAGTATATGTAATAAAAGTTTATACATTGAAGATAATACCATTTGGATTTCCTTTTAATACAACATATTTTTTCGAGACCATGCAATACATTTAAGATAATACAAAGGTTTAATTTTTTAAATTTAATATAATTTTTTTTTATTATAACTTTCGATTACAGAATGTCACAAGTTTCAATTTTCAATGAAAATAATGAAAAGATCACAATAAGTTTTACATCAGATGAGGAATTAGAAAATATGCAGTTAGAGAATAAGATCGCGTAAGTTTTTATATCTCGATCTAATTGATATTAATTCAATTAAAAGAAATGAATATTTTTAAGTTTATTTGAATGTTTTTTAGAGTGGCATTTGGGTTTATTGATGAAATTGAAGGGCCAAAGATAGTTGGCACTATTGGCACAAGATTCTGGAAATTATTGAAATTTATTTTAAATAATAATAGCCAACATCGTATATCGGTTTTAGCATGGGACGAAAACGTTGATCGTATAGAACATCTTATACAGTTGAATCAAGTAAGTATAAAATTTTTATGTTTTTCTTTTTTGTATTGCTATTATATACATATAAGTATACATTATAACAATTATTATTTTATATATATTCTTTTATTTATTACTCTTTTTAAGTCTTTATAATCAATAATAATAATTATATTATAATATATTTTCTTTTTTAATCATTTAAGTTTTATTATATTTTTTAATTTTATAGGTTGTACGTGTTATAGGTGCAAATGCTAGAATACGATCAAATAAATATTCTATAGATTATAATATAGGAAATCTTCCATATGAACTTATTGTTTATGATCATACTGTAATAGAGAACCTGGGTCCATTTGAAAGAACCTAATTTAACCGTTAATTGAATCGGTTCAACCGGCAGTCGTTTCCCAATGTATCCGAGTACTTAAATTTGTGCATTCGTATGTATGTGATATTAATGGTTTTTTTGTTATATAAATATATTTAAATTTGTAAGTAAATATTTTTTGAAGTAACTATGTGTGCAATTTGCATTAATATTAAATTGATAATTAACAATAATATGTATATAAAATGCGGGTACGCCAAGTTTTTGCTTCATATATACTATGATCTCATTGATCATTTTAGTCACTTTGAGGATGTACTGGCGCTAATATTCTAACATTGACAATACTTTGAAAATTTAATAAATTGATTCTATTTATTACCTTAACATATGTCCAAAATTTGTACATATTTTATATATATATATACATTTATGTATATATAATGTTATATACATATATGTATATAAGGCTAATACTTACTCAGTATTCTGATTTACCAATTATCAAAAGTGTAACAGATTAACCTCTTCTTAATATTTTATTAAAAAAGATTGATACTTTGTGTATTTTTTCTTTTAGGTATTAATTTTTGTTTAACAAAATATTATAATACTGTTAACAATATCTTTTGTAATCAACAGACATGTCGAAATATGTTTTTTACAATAATTAAGAGAAAAATGAATTAAGGGGGTATTCTAGTCTAGCGGGTCGGAAAAATCGATTTTTTTTTTACACATTTTGCAAGTATTTGGCATGGAAAATATGTCTGCAAAAGGATTTAGTCCGATTCGCAAAATTAACAAAGTTATAGGCCGGTATTCGTAATCGATTCTCATATTATTCTTATATAATAGTCTTAAGATGTTACAAGCCAATAACAGAGCCGTATTAGTATCTTAAGACATTACTTAAGACGACTTTAAAATAAAAACCGACTTATGAATACCGGTCATAACACTTGATAGAGAGTGATCTCAATCTATGTAATCAGTACAAAAAACTTTAAACGCGTTGTTCTCGAAACCACGTTTTTCAAATTGGTACCCATAATATCTCGAAAACCAATTGACCAATCAATTCGGGCTTGTGCACACATCTTCAGCATGATGCGTGGCTATAGCCCCTACCTCGTCGAGCAAATCAAAATAA